GGGATTGGCCCAATATCAACAGCTGGGTAGAGTCTAAAAAAACAGGTGGACACAGGAAATGGCAAAATGACCGATGTAGAACCAAGGAGCCCAACTCTTGTGATGACTGGAAATCATTTGCCATTGTGAAGAAAAACTTCTTTATGACTGCTCCTCAGGATGTAGACGTACATCTGCCTGTGAAAACAGACTCGATGAACAGAACGTCAGAGGATCACCGCAGGATGCTCGCGTGCCGAGCCTTGTCCTGTGACTGGGGCTGGGTGTAAGCTGAGATGCCATCATATTAATTGGAACAGCAAAACCCGACCTATCACACCCCATTGTGATTTATTATTGTTTTTTCCTTTATCAAATCTCAGTTTGTTTTGTTGGCAGTGTGGTCTCCTCTTCTTTGTTGCGGCTTGCAAGCTGGATGTAACAGATACAAACCTCTGGTCGGCCCTCCTGTTTCCTGTTTACCCAGAGTCATATAACAATATCAACCATTTTGTGTGAAATTTTGTCATAATTGTTGTGTGAAGTCTTGAGTAATGGCTAAACAGTGTTTTCTGAGCGTCACACTGACCTTGGCCTTTGACCACCAAAGTCTAATCAGTTCATCCTTGAGTCGTACTAATGTTTGTGCCAAATTTGAATGAAATTCCGTCAAGGGTTACTGAGATATCGAGCCCATGAGAATGGGACGAACGGGCATGGACAGACAACCTGAAAACAATATGCCTCCAGCTCTGACTGTCGCTGACGCAGAGGAATAAAAACATAATAAGAAGAGCCAGTAGAGTTCTGCAACAAAGTTCTATTGACTGATGAAAATTGATCTCTATCAAATATGATGGGAAGGAAGTGTGGAGAAGTAAAGGAACAGCTCATGACCAAAAGCCACAATCTCATCTGTCAAACATCTGGAGGTTCTGTTGTGTTTGGGCCTGTATGGCTGCCAGTGGAACTGCCACACTGTTCATTTATTGATGATTCATTGCTAAAGATTTTTTTATTTGTTTTATTCTGTTATTTTATTTCAATTTGAATGTGGTGAAGCTCTGAGCCTGAAGAACAAAACACGTGAATCTATCCAAACATGACCCGACTGCCTTTGAAAACCGTTCAGCTTCACCTGCCCCCCCCTGAAAAACCACACCCCCACAGCATGACGTAGGTCCCTGAGTCCTTTAGGTGCTTTTTTTGCAATGACATCCCTCTTTCATTGAGGTCTGGCCAATCTGCCAGAAAGCCCAGACTCAGTGGAGAGCTGCCGTGATGGCTGTCCTTTTGGAAGTCTCTCCCATCTCCACACAGGATCTCTGGACCTCACCAGACTATGCATACTGGACTAGAAGCTACGATCTGGATCGTATTCTACGAAGTTAAATCTGTCTTAATCTCTAGCCAGCACATTGCTGAGAAGTACATAATGTTACCCGCACTTTCACTTACAGTATGAACAGTTTATGTCTGTTTAATTGGCGACATCATTGTACAGTGTATGTCAGAGTTAAAATATGGTCCTAGTATTTATTTTCTTCTTGTTACTACACTTCATTCTCAGGAACATTTCTCTCTAGAGATACTGGGGTGCCTCAAGATATCTTGTACATATATATATATATATTATATATATGAACCAACAGACTGACATAACCAACTTCACTGTCCTCCCCAGCTGCTAAAGAGCACTAAGTGCATCTCAATCATCCTATCAAAGACACACGATTCATAAAAATGTTGCGGCCATTCAGTTAATGTGGGTTAAGAAGAGGGCGGTCACTACCTCTCATCATACACAAATGCCTGGTCGATCTCAGGAGCCTGGGTAACCTGGCGTGCCCTCGACACCCGGGCGCCTCATGGAAGGATTGTCGAGAAATGCCGTAGTCAGACACGTTTAATGTTGGACTGGGTCTTGCACCTGGAAAGAAGACACATGGATGATTAGCAAGCTGAATCAGAAAGCACATCTGTTTCTTTATAATAAAAAAAATAATAAATCTTTTTCATAATTGAATGTTGTCAATAAACCAAAATGCAAAAGTTTATGGCTTTCTGAATGGTGGATTCACATACAGACCTGCAGAGACCACACCAGGATGTTGTCAGATTTAAGGTCACAGAAGATGATGCTCTTCCTGTGAAGGTATGCCAGTCCTGCTGCAATCTGGTAGCGCTACTCTGAAGGTTAGCATGTGACCGAGGGGCATGTACTTGAGCCTACAAATAAAAAAAAAAAAAAACATAACTTCATGTTCCACTAACATAGACACAGGCCAACGTCAATATCATGATGAATATGTGTGTACGTGCCTTTGCGCTTCTCCCTGCCAGCACAGTGTTGAGGCTGCACAGGGGCTAATTGCAGGGCGAAGCAGAGCGGGTGGATGCTGCATGCCCACCAGAGAAACAATGCAGGGATGCTGGAGAGAGTGCAACATACTGGACTCCTGGCGAAACTCAGAGAAGCTCCGACAGGCATCTGCGACTGCAGGTGCTTCACCATGGTGTCTAAAGCAATGAGAAGAGGAATGAGAGGGAGCACAAAAGTTAGATATGTATGAGATATATGGAGAACAGATCTGAGGCCAGAGGAAAGCTCTCAGAGAACCCAACTGGAATCTTTTTCACAATTCCTCTCATTCTGAATATTCCACCAGCAATGAATTCACATTCTTTCACTCCATCTTGTCCTCCTTTTGTTATCTGTAACTATAGTGCTCCACATATCTAAATCTAAATATCTAAATATGAGGTGGAAATGTGTGACAATAATAATAATAATTAATAATAACCCAATAATAATCCCAACTAAAATGTTCTGTGAAGAATTCTCAGTCATTCCAGGTCATGGTTATCCAAGAAAGGTTGAATCAAGGGCAACTGGACTTGGTTGTAGATACTTGAGATGGTTTTCATCTCCATCCAAAAAGGTGGATGAGAGGAAGTCTCTTGTCGTATCTACACCCTTGGTTCATGTGATGATGTCTGAGACAGTTCCATTATCTGATGAGGACGCATGGATGCAGTTAAAAGCTCAGAAAAAACAGTGAGTAACATTAACCAGGTTCGATTATTGTGTCACATAAGATAAAGAAAGAACTTCAAAAAAAAAAAAAAGCCTACAGTCTATGGCAAGAGAACAAGCGTACAGGCTGCAGGCAGTCGTGTGTTATCAAGTGATGATCATTCGTTTTGGTGGAATTACCGCTGTAACAGACCTTCCTCACAGCAGCAACCGCACGGGTTTTACTACTAACATTAATGACGGGTGAATTCCACTATGGTGTCAGTTACCCGCAATCAGCTGCGAGCGCGACAATATCAGGGGATCTGAAAATAGAACACTAACAAACAAATAATGTATAGAATAGTAGCCCTATAACTAATAATATACTACATTAGTATATTATATCGAATCGATATTGCTGAAAAAACTCAGTTGACCTTATACAGGGGGACAATTTGACTTTACTACTGTAAATGAACACAGTGCATTTCTTGCCATGACAGTCAATGGACCTTTTCCACAACAGACTTTTTGACCTGTCAAACACAAGTGTAATTAATAAAGTTCATAGCGGCCACATTCCATTAACATGTTCTATTTTCAGATCCCTGATATTGTGCGTCGCAGCTGATTGGGTAACTGAACACCTAAGTGGAATTCACCCGTCATTAATGTTAGTAGTAAAACCCGTGCGGTTGCTGCTGTGAGGAAGGTCTGTTACAGCGGTAATCCCACCCAAAACGAATGATCATCACTGATAACAACACGACTGCCTGCAGCCTGTACGCTTGTTCTCTTGCCATAGACTGTAGGCTTTTTTTTTTTTTGAAGTTCTTTCTTTATCTTATGTGACACAATAATCTCAACTCAAGGTTCACTCACTGTTTTTTCTGAGCTTTTAACTGCATCCCATGGTCCTCATCAGATAATGGAACTGTCTCAGACATCATCACATGAACCAAGGGTGAAGATACGACGAGAGACTTCCTCTCATCCACCTTTTTTGGATGGAGATGAAACATCTTCAAGTATCTACAACCAAGTCCAGTTGCCCTTGATTCAACCTTTCTTGGATAACCATGACCTGGATGACTGAGAATCTTCACAGACATTTTAGTTGGGATTATTATTGGGATTATTATTAATTATTATTATTATTGTCACACATTTCCACCTCATATTTAGATATTTAAGATTTAGATATGTGGACCACTATAGTTACAGATAACAAAAGGAGGACAGAGATGGAGTGAAAGAATGTGAATTCATTGCTGGTGGAATATTCAGAATGAGAGGAATTGTGAAAAAGATTCAGTTGGGTCTCCGAGAGCTTTCCCTCTGGCCTCAGATCTGTTCTCCATATATCTCATTCATATCTAACTTTTGTGCTCCCTCTCATTCCTCTTCTCATTGCTTTAGACACCATGGTGAAGCACCTGCAGTCTGCAGATGCCTGTCGGAGCTTCTCTGAGTTTCGCCAGGAGTCCAGTATGTTGCACTCTCTCCAGCATCCCTGCATTGTTTCTCTGGTGGGCATCAGCATCCACCCGCTCTGCTTCGCCCTGCAGTTAGCCCCTCTGGGCAGCCTCAACACTGTGCTGGAGGAGAAGCGCAAAGGCACGTACACACATATTCATCATGATACTTGACGTTGGCCTGTGTCTATGTTAGTGGAACATGAAGTTATGTTTTTTTTTTTTTATTTGTAGGCTCCAAGTACATGCCCCTCGGTCACATGCTAACCTTCAGAGTAGCCTACCAGATTGCAGCAGGACTGGCATACCTTCACAGGAAGAGCATCATCTTCTGTGACCTTAAATCTGACAACATCCTGGTGTGGTCTCTGCAGGTCTGTATGTGAATCACCATCAGAAAGCCATAAACTTTTGATTTTGGTTTATTGACAACATTCAATATGAAAAAAGATTTTTTATTTTTTTTATTATAAAGAAACAGATGTGTTTTCTGATTCAGCTTGCTAATCATCCATATGTCTTCTTCCAGGTGCAGGACCCAGTCAACATTAAACTGTCTGACTACGGCATTTCTCGACAATCCTTCCATGAGGGCGCCCTGGGTGTCGAGGGCACGCCAGGTTACCAGGCTCCTGAGATCCGACCAGGCATTGTGTATGATGAGAAGGTAGTGACCCCCTCTTCTTAACCCACATTAACTGAATGGCGCAACATTTTTATGAATCGTGTGTCTTTGATAGGCTGATTGAGATGCACTTAGTGCTCTTTAGCAGTGGGGAGGACAGTGAAGTTGGTTATGTCAGTCTGTTGGTTCATATATATATATATATATATATGTACAAGATATCTTGAGGCGCCCCAGTATCTCTAGAGAGAAATGTTCCTGAGAATGAAGTGTAGTAACAAGAAGAAATAAATACTAGGACCATATTTTAACTCTGAACATACACTGTACAATGATGTCGCCATATAAACAGACATAAACTGTTCATACTGTAAGTGAAAGTGGGTAACATTATGTACTTCTCAGCAATGTGCTGGCTAGAGATTAAGACAGATTTAACTCGTAGAATACGATCCAGATCGTAGCTCTAGTCCAGTAGTAGTCTGGCTGAGGTCCAGAGATCCTGTGTGGAGATGGGAGAGACTTCCAAAAGGACAGCCATCACGGCAGCTCTCCACTGATCTGGGCTTTCTGGCAGATTGGCCAGACCTCAATGAAAGAGGGAATGTCATTGCAAAAAAGCACCTAAAGGACTCAGGGACCACTCATGCTGTGGGGGTGTGGTTTTCAGGGGCAGGGGCAGGTGAAGCTGAACGGTTTTCAAAGGCAGTCGGGTCATGTTTGGATAGATTCACGTGTTTTGTTCTTCAGGCTCAGAGCTTCACCACATTCAAATTGAAATAAAATAACAGAATAAAACAAATAAAAAAATCTGTTAGCAATGAAATCATCAATAAATGACAGTGTGGCAGTTCCACTGGCAGCCATACAGGCCCAAACCACAACAGAACCTCCAAGATGTTTGACAGATGAGATTGTGGCTTTTGGTCATGAGCTGTTCCTTTACTTCTCCACACTCCTCTTCCCATCATTTTGATAGAGATCAATTTTCATCAGTCAATAGAACTTTGTTGCAGAACTCTACTGGCTTCTTAATTTATGTTTTTATTCCTCTGCGTCAGCGACAGTCAGAGCTGGAGGCATATTGTTTTCAGGTTGTCTGTCCATCCGTTCGTCCCATTCTCATGGGCTCGATATCTCAGTAACCCCTTGACGGAATTTCATCAAATTTGGCACAAACATTCAGTACGACTCAAGGATGAACTGATTAGACTTTGGTGGTCAAAGGCCAAGGTCAGTGTGACCTCAGAAAACACTGTTTAGCCATTACTCAAGACTTCACACAACAATTATGACAAAATTTCACACAAATGGTTGATATTTTATATGACTCTGGGTAAACAGGAAACAGGAGGCCGACCAGAGGTTTGTATCTGTTACATCCAGCTTGCAAGCCGCAACAAAGAAAGGAGACACACACTGCAACAACAACAAACTGAGATTTGATAAAGGAAAAAACAATAATAATCACAATGGGGTGTGATAGTCGGGTTTTGCTGTTCCCAATTAATATGATGGCATCTCAGCTTACACCCAGCCCACACAGCATCCTGCGGTGAGGCTCTGGGGCATCGCAGCATCCTGCGGTGAATCCTCTGACGTTCTGTTCATCGAGTCTTGTTTTCACAGGCAGATGTACGTCTACATCCTGAGGAGCAGTCATAAAGAAGTTTTTCTTCACAATGCAAATGATTTTCCAGTCATCCACAAGAGTTGTGCTCCTTGGTCTACTCGGTCATTTGCCATTTCCTGTGTCCACCTGTTTTTTTAGACTCTACCCAGCTGTTGATATTGGCAAACCAACTCCCTTTGATATCTCTCTGATAGATTTTGCTAAGTTTTTGTTGAGCCTCATTATTATCTTCTTCATTTGCATGGTCACCTCTTTACTCCTCATATTGACAGACCACTCCACCTCAATCTAAATGGCAACTCTTAACTCTTTTTTTGTGTGCATGAACTAATGTTGAAACAATGCACTAAGAGACATCTAGTAGCCAAGTGTCCACTTACTTTTTGAAATTTGGGCTTTTAATTGCTAGTGATGGTGTTAATGTTAACGTCCCTGTCCTTGAGATGTCCCATGAGATGTTTTATTTAGTTTATGCTCATGCCTCTCATGGTCTGCATTCCTAACTGTAGACAGGAGGATTATCTCAAAACAAACTCAGCTGGGGTTTATTTCAAAGCGGATCACTCGTCATGGCCAAAACAGCCTCTATCCTGCTGCTCTTCTCTGTACCTCTGTGTGATTTTGCCTTCTTCTCTATCACATATGAAACTCTTTATACAGTCACTTGATCCTAACATGTTGATTTGATAATAGAGAAGTTGGTAAACTAGTTTGATCCACTAACTGCAGTATATGCACAGAATAGGGCAGTCTGATCCTGCAGCAGAAATCTGTTTGGACTCTGAGCTGTTGATCTGTCTGCTGTTTGAGCAGAAGGTGTAAGGAATCAAAGAGCTGCCCCTGCCGGAATATTTAATTTACTTGTTGCAACCAGAAGATTTACAGTTAGTGGGCTGATCGTTTTGACCGTTGACTTTCTTCTCTGCAGCATATTACTGTCTGATTAGTACCATATGTTGTTTTAATGGCAAAGGAAGAGGAAAAGCCATAGACCCAAGCAGGTTTTACCATGGCTATAGCGTGATGACCTTTGCATCCACACAAAAACTAGGACTTTTTAAAACTACTGCCAATAGATTCACTAGATAAGAAAACCTAGTTTTTTCAAATATAAACATGATATATTTTCCACTAAACCCTTTTTTATATAATCCAGAAACCAGAGGAAAACAAGCAGAGACCTGAACAGTTCCTTTAAAAAATCATCTAAAATCACAATCTTTTGATTTGAATCAGGAAATATCTGTACAAAAAAAAAACTGATACTGCAATACTGTACCAAGGTTCAATATCCAATCTAGTGTGGATAAGGACTAGCACCAATACCAGAATTAACAATTACTCATCGATTATCTGTTGATTCTTTTTTCGATTTGTCTGTAAAAGAGCTAGAAAGTTGTGGGAAAATACTAATTACAGGTGCTCAAGGAGAAATCAACAGATATTTTGTTCTGTCTGACCAACAGTGCAAAATCCAAAGATATCCAATTTACTATGATATAAAAGAAAAACAGCAAAGTGTCATATTAGACAGGAAGGAACCAGAGAATATACTACTGTTATATAGGTTTTTGTGCATGTAAATGGTCTCCAGAGTCACAAGGATCAAAGTTTACACCAAAGGGAGGAACTCTGTCAGGGTAAAAAACCCAATTTTCTCTGTTGTATGAAACGCCTCGTTGGGGGTTTTGACATTACTTCCTGGTCCTGCTGACTTCAATATGTCTCTTGGTGCAGCCCACCTATAAGATGGACACCCCCTGCAAGCTAGCCATGCCCCCACACAAGGCACAGCACATAACTACTTATAGTGAAGAGTTTTCTTTAGTTTTGTAGCCATGCCAAGAAGGACTGTGTTCTCAATTGGCTGGAGAAAACTACTTTATTTTTTCCACGGTTCCCTCCACTGCTCCACATTAAAGTGTGATCCGGCACTTCAAGGAGGACTGCTTCAGAAACCATGCACACAGTTAGACGTTTCTCTATTAACTTAATGTGGCCTAACGGGGGGGGTGTTACCGAGACCTGACTAATAAAATCAAAAGGGTTTGTAGTAAAAGTATTCCATTTTATGAATATTGTCATCCGAAGTCTTTGCAGACTGTACAGCGTCTTGATTCGCAACGCTCCTCCTATTTCTCCCTCCTTCCGGCTGCCTGACAGTGGGTACGCTTGTTTTCGGCTGCAGTCCAGCTTGTGAAGGTGTATCGGGTCTGTCATCTTCTGCTTCAGGATCAGACTCTTGCGCAAAACGATAAGGCAGAACCGAAGCCGCCACAACCGTGTTTACACAAGACATGAGGAATGTGTCGTTGCCATGGTATTTGCCACCATCAGAAGGGGGAGGGAGGCCTTAAAGAGCCCTGAGCTCTAACAGAGTGTTTCAGACAGAGGGTGAAGAGAGTACTGTATAATGTACAGAAAATGTACAGAAAAAGAAAAAATAATGTCTTTTCAGAACATTAAAGCATGTAAATCTATTTTAGTCGACACCAAGAATGAAATGAACACTAAAAATGGCCATAATCCTGTTAAAAATGAGCCATCAGGACTTCTGTAACTTTGTGATGTCACAACAACAGCACAGCCCACTTGGACAAACCTTCCAAGTTGGAGGATTTGGTTTCTGCAAGTGTTTACTTGAAATCTGCTGTGTTTTTATTCAATTTCTATTAAGGTCTCGTACTCTTGTTTTGTTTGGCCTCTCCAACGCTCTTTTAAGCTTTTAATCTTTTTAACACCGTTCTTCTACTGATCGTTGGATTACTTTTTGGTCCGCCCAGACACTGCAACATCAGAGACTGTCGCCACAATGATTTTAATCATTTTTAGTCCAAATTTGACTGTTTGACCTTCTGTCTCCATCTCATTTCAGCGGCATTACAGGTGAGTTTTACCAAGTGACAGTAGTAGGCTACAATCCATTATCTGTGCGTAGCCTGGCTGTGTGTTACTCAGAAAACCAACCTGTTGTTACTAGAGCTCCAGAGAGAAGCCTGAGAGAGGAGATGTAAAACTACACTAAGATTGTTTTTGGCACGTAAAACCACAAATATATCTTCTTCTGGATCAACACTTCAAATAAAACACAGGAAAATAGTAAAATATGGGACCTTTAATATCTTCTTATATAACTTAAACGATGAATTGACAAAAATTAACACAATTGTTTAAATTTTCTGTCAAATCGATTAATCAACTTTGGAGCAGTCAGTGTAACTTACTGAGAGCGTGGATATACGTCTGTTATAGCTGCTGTTGGTCTGATATTTCTGGCCCCAGGCTGCTCTGACTTTCTCCTCTCCCCATGGAACTAGTTTTACTGGGGTTTACTGTTTTACTGGTCCCTGCCTCTGCAGCTTTCAAAGAGTTGAGAAATCCATCTATAAGCCTCCACCTCTATTCATCAGCCCCTCTCCCACAGAGTCCGCTGACCTCAGCCAATCAAACAACCTTCTCTCCTGGGCGTTAATTTTACTTTTTGATGAGGTTTAACTGTTTTAATGAGATGCCGACGAGGCTGGAGAGAGAATAAATGATGGAGCAAGTGGGACAGGAATCAAGACAGAAAAATTAAGAAAATAAATGAAAAGCAGCTTCGTGGCTGTTAACGTGGTTGCCAGCTGTGAGTCTTTTAGGAAGTAATGGAACAAATTTAAGTGTTTGTCAAGGGTTTTGACAATACGCAATAGCACTAGTAGAAAGCTGTTACAAGCCATTTGTTTATAGGCTTGGATAATATCAACACAGCTCAGTGACAAGATCAGGAATCTACATCATGGGTTGTTTCTTATAGTTGTACTGTAATGAAGAGTGGAGGGCATTTTTTAGGTGCAACACGTTATCAGTTTCGGTGATCAGAGATAATTCATTTCATTAAGTAATATGATTTAATTTACATTAAATCCACCTCGGGGCACCACCCTTAAAAAGGGATAGGATAGCTTATTCATTGATTCAGTCTCATAAACAATTTGCAACTTGTGATTAATAATTAACTTCATAACTATAATCAAAATGACCATATCAATAGTTGGTAAAGGTTGAAGGGTTTTTAGGTGTGCAACATTAAATACTGTAAATCTGCAGGTATCTTGAAAAGCATTTATTTTAAAGCTAACAAAAGCAAAGACACGCAATATCTAATTTAATGAATCATACTGTGTGTGTGTGTGTGTGTGTGTATCTATTCTAAAAGATACTGGGAGCCAGTGGAGTGAAGGTTAAACTGAGATAATATGACAGAAATGGCCATACTTTGGCAATATTTATCTATATATATGATAACAGTATTGACCCCAAAATAATACCTGAGATCTGTTTGATCAACAGCAGAATGTGACTCAGCTACTTTACATCTGAAAGTTTAAAGATCTTCAGAAAGATCTGAAGAATTCATTTTATAACAAACATTTTATGAAAATGTATTAAATTTAGTCATTAAAAATGACGTCTGTATCTAGTGGGATGTTTAACAATGAAAAAAAACTTGTCAGGACTCTGGTGGGAAAACTATCTAATGGAGACAATTTTTCTCCATCACCTCAAAAACATCTTTGACGTTCGTCTACTGACATTTCTTGTTACTTGTTACATTTCTGTAACATCCATGTGTCTTGTATGTAGTCTGGAAACAGGATGTAGCTGTTGCGTGCGTGCGTGCGTGCGTGCATGCCTGCCTGCCTGCCTGCCTGCGTGCGTGCAGTTGTCAGTGGCTGCGCAGCACAACCTCTTGTGTAGGCCGCTGTTTTACAGCAGTGAAGAAGAACTGATCTCTGGGAAAACTGACGATCCACCAAGTGTGAAACTATAAAGTTTATTAATAATTTACATTGTATTGGATCGATGTCTAGATTTTCTGTACTCGCCGATACCCGATACAGTATTTTAGGTAGTATCGGAGGAATTTTCGATACTAGTATCACCAGGGGAACAACTCTATAATATAACAGGTTATCATGCCACATAACTTAAAGACTCCAATATTGATACAAAACATGCAACGTGCTCTGTAGCTGTCTTATCATGGTTTTATGTAGCACTTGAATTTCAGATATGTTGTTCACCAATGATGAGAGTCAAGTCTCTTTATCTTTCTATCAAGAATAAAAACTGTAGACAAAACGAAGAGTGAGAAGATTCTTCAGACTGAGGTCAGGGGAACTTCCTTATATGAGTATGCCATCGTTTTTTCCATAGTCCTTGAGACGTCATACCACACCACAGACCTCAAGTGTATCTGGAGCCACGACCAAGTGATGTCACCTCTGAAGTAGTTGAGTGCTTTTGGCGTCGCTGTACTGTTTGCCTTTACAGCTATTCTGGGAATTCCCACAGGGGCTGACTCCCCCTCCCCCCATCACTATCTGTGACCGTTCAGAGACAGGAATCCACTCGGGTATTTTGGTCCTCAGATATGGGTTTCAAGGATGAGTTGAATGATAGAAGAATGAAAAAACTAGAGTTTGATCTTTGTGTTTTTTTTTTTAATAACACTTAATGGCTAAAGGTGCTCTGTGGAGTCGGAGCCATGACAACTGCAACCAAGAGGAAAAAACCCAAATTACAATCCTGTATCTTGAGTAAAAAAACATGAATGAGCTGTCGAAGATAAGAGAGCTGGATAAGGCTGAGTTGTGTTGCTGTGGAGTATCTGTCAATCAGTGTCTCCTCAATTGTCATTATCAGTAAAAGTAGAGCTATTATTGCCATTCACCTCCTGCCCTGTATTCACCTGCTGATAAGTACAGGATTATAGTTTCCTGTGTTCTGACATAACTACAGTAGACTGTGTGTTTTACACCTGTTTTATTGTATCTCATCTGACTGTAATTTGTTCCCATGTGTTTGCTGTATCCCTCGTATTCATGTTTACTTTTGCTGGGCTCAGTTCCCCCCCCACAGGGATCGTATCAGATTCATCTTTTTCTTACCATCCATTTCATCAACATTGCTGACATATTGGCTAAGGCTGTATTTCATGGGTGACAACTCTGCACACAAATCTGATTGAAGGTCTGAATCACCTCTTCAGATGTAACTCTGACACCTGACCTCAACGTGTCTTGTTTTTTTTCTCTCGTCATCCCCGCCCGCAGGTAGACATGTTCTCCTATGGTATGGTGCTGTATGAGCTGCTGTCCGGGCGGAGACCAGCGCTGGGACAGCACCAGCTTCAGATAGCGAAGAAGCTCTCCAAAGGCGTACGGCCGGTGCTCGGCAGCCCAGAGGAGGTTCAGTTCTACTGCCTCCACAGCATGCTGACTGAATGCTGGGACACCAAGCCTGAGAAGGTGAGTCCACCTGACGCAGTGATTGATCAAAGGTTCCCTGTTTGCCATGTTTGGTAGGAAATAGAGAAGTTCTCATCCACCACCACAAAGACTCATGGTCATTACCTAGAGCTTGGTTGTATGGTGTAGTGAATAAACCCCCGCCCCCCCCAGTGGCCCGGTTCAGAGCTGGTATTAACATCCGTCTCAGGTGAACCGATCACAAGTGGACAGCTTTAAGTTCAGGTGTGTGAACGCACCCGAGATGCATTGAGGTCTGAGGTCCGATCACTCAGACCACATTCAGAGGTGGTCTGGACCACATGTGGCCACATCCTTTGATTCATGAACCGAAAATATTTTACTATTTCCACTCCAGTGATTGGAGCTCAAAAACAGCTGATCAAAGTCACCTACTGTGTGTGTGTGCGTGTGTGTGTGTGTGTGTGTGTGTGTGTGTGTGTCAGAGGCCGGTGGCCATGCAGTGTGTGAGGCAGATGCAGGAGCCCAGCTTCCCCTGCCTCAGGTATGTGTTGTCCTGTGACAGCCACTCGCAGCTCTTCCTGTCCCAGCTGCAGGGACACAGCGCCGTGTTCTGGAGCGGAGACAAAGACGGCAGGTTGGTTTCAACTCCTCATTCTCATGATAACTGCTTATTTTTACATGAAACAAATGTTTTCATGAATTATTTTCCATTCACAGACCTGTGCTACTAATGAGTGCATTTCAAACATTTCAACAACAAGTCAGTGTTAATATGTAACTGGGGTGGGAATCACAGAGTAACGATACTGTCACGACACTATTATATACAGCGATTCTGCAAGACTCCACATATTTTAAGACAATAATATCAGACACCTCACGATATCTGTGTAAGTGAAGGAGAAAAATTTACCTAAAAAGGCAAAGAGCAGGAATCATGTATTTATTCACTGCATTGTGGCGTCAGTCTCACAGAATTTGACAACTGAGATTAAACAATGTACAACAAAGTGCATAGAGTCTTAGCTTAGTGCCTCTTTAATACAGACATGCACACACACACACACACACCCACATCCAGATACACACACTGACTGCAATTTGTGTTCACTCCAATGTAAAATAAACTTGCAAAAGGCAGAACTTCCAGAAAGCAGAACAGTTCTGCAGTTAAAGTGTTTAAAATAAATTCATGCAAAAAAACACATTTCTCTCTCAAGAAACAATAAACACAGGGGTTAAAAGTGTGTAGTTGTGTGTCTTTCTGTGTTTGGGGGGTGGTAATGTCATGTAGTCCTTATCGATTTTATTTGTGCCATGAGCGTTGTAAAAGCCGGAGTGGGCCCAGACCTTCGACTTGAAAAATGACAGTACCTCTGTGATTTGTTTTCTCCTGCTGTCGGCCATACCCCCCCCCCCCAGGAATTTCTTCTTCTTCACTGCGAGTTCACCATCATTCATTCGGTATTTGGCACAAAAAAATCTATATTTGGCGCCAGTGTATCGATAACGTATCACAAGAGGAAGTAATTTATATATATTCCTGTATTGATATTTGGTCCCACCCCAAATATGTGTATACAATCAGAGTGTGTGTGGGGTCATCTCTTTGGGGTGTGTGTGTTGAACAGGAACTACAGTGTGGTGAATGTGGAGAAGGGCCAGGTGGAGGTGAAGAGGATGTCGTGTCCAGGCAGCAGGATCAGCTTTCAGATGAAGATGTCTAACACTCTGTGGGTGGCCACTGAGGTACACACCACCCATCACAACACCACCCAACCAACACCAGCCGACACCATTCCTGTTTGATTCCTATTTACACAAAGCAGAACAGATGCTTCTCAAAGTTAAGGTTCAGAATATCCTCCATGGCACCATCCATAAATTTAATGCACTTCCTGGAAATGGCTGGAATTTTTTTAGGCTTCCAGGAAATTTATAGAATTCCTAGAAATATCCTGGAAAAAACTTGAGTCTATATTTTTCTAATTGTCTATAAATACGGAAGCCATTTTTTCCCCATCCACAAACAGCTGGAAGTTGACATTAGAACAGTGGTCAGGGATGAGATAATGTTAAAGTCATATAAACACAGCTAAGCTTTCCAATCATTCAGTTCACTGGAGCAGGGTGTGCAGTTGAACACCACCTGTTGGTTCAGTAATCTGACAATTTTTTTCTGTTGTTGCATTCATGAAAAACCTTTTAAAATTGGAAAACAGAGCTCTGGAGTGAACAGAGCTCGAGACTGTGTGACAGATCAGATCATGTAACAGCTACACACGTTGTTAGCATAGATAGAGGATTTCAACAGGTTCCCCCCGAATCCACAAATAAAAATAAAAAAAAAACGCTTAGAGAGAATTTAAGAATCTTAAAAACAGGATGTTCTTTGTCGTGTTTGTTGTTGTTAAACTTTTTTTTTTTTTTTTTACATGTGTTTGTCCCATAGGAGCAGGAGGTGTTCATCTACAGTCTGAAGGACATGTGTCCGCTCAGTCAACCCCAGAAACAGTTCTCCTGTCCAGCCGTCATCACCTGCCTGTTCCCTGTCCCAGCGTTAGAACAGGTCCGCTCACGTTTCAACACACACACACACACACACACACACACACACACACACACACACACACACACACACACAGGATGTTGTGTTCATGTCTTGTCATTCATCACTGTGTCGGTCACCGGTTTGAATACCTTACCTGTCAGAAGAAGAGCCCCTAAAACATCTCACTGCCATCAGCACGACTGTGAGTGTGAGACACCAAAGGATGTTTTTGTGGGAAAAAGTTGTTTTATGGTCTGTACTGCTGCTCCACCTCTGACCTCTGACCTTTGACCTGCTACCCTACACATACAAATGTTTTGCCCTGGTTACCTTTTGAAGTTTAAATGATGGAATCCAGGTGTTATCAAGGTGTGGGTGGCGCAGGAAGGGGGGGTCCATTCTCCAACCTGTAGTCACTGGTATCGATGATTGGAATGAATTTTGATCATGTTCTTGATATTAGGAAAATTTTAATGAGTAACCAGTAGTTAAATCCTCAGACTGATACTAAATGGTTGTGCATAGTTTCACATTTTAATAAAATAAGGGGAAATTTAATGTCACCGTAACACAGGAAGTAGTTTAAAGAGGCAGGAAACAGATAGAGAACAACATAAAATTATTCAAAATGAAGTAAAGTAAGAAATTAAAGAAATGCTTTCAAAACCTATGTATAATACATGTATTGGTTCATCAGTTTTTAGTGTCCCCTGGAAACACTTCAGTTGTTTTGTGATGTTATTTGCAGCTCATGAACTGATGAAGATGTTTTCTGAATTTGTTTGTGTTTTGTCTGTGTTTTCTTAAGCTGCAGTGCTTTGAGCTCTCAGGGCCACCGTAAATTTGTCCTGGTTGCTGCATGTAGGTTTATTGCAGGCGTTTTCCTCCTGACAATGCAAGAACTAGGACGTATCCCTCCACTGAGTCTCAGCAGGGGAACACTGTCGAGGGAAACATTTGTTCTAAAAAAGACCACGACTTCAAGCTACTGAAACCTCTTTTTCCATAAAATGAAGATTGTGAAGTTTGTGCAGTTTGTGTAAGTGGGTTTTCCTGACTCAGCCAGTCAGGAGCTACTTTTCTGGCTGAGAAGGTTTTATAACACCTCTGAAACAACTTTTAAACAATGCACCACCAAACGTTTCACTGCAGGAATCTTAAGAGTGTGAGCTGATGATCAAAATGGTAAATGTAAACAGATGATCTCTTCCTCGCCTGATAAGAGCCTGGCCAGAGTGTTTGCGGGGATGTCCGACGGCCTGGTGGCGGTGTACAGCCTCCTGGAGGACCTTCCTCTGGAGGGGGAAACCTACCTGTGTTCACACACCCTCAACAAAACCGTGTTTGGTCTGAAGGACTCAGATCCCCGGCAGAGACCCTACCCAGTCAGGAGCATGGCTCTGGTCAGCAGTGGCTCCCAGGTGAGTAAATAATCAGTCAGACCATCAAGATTTAGAAGAAACCAGCGTCTACAATATGTTAACACCCCATTCTCGCCGCGCTGTTCCTGTCCGTCTGTTTATCAGTTATGGTTCTCCAACGGTCCGGGTGTGCTGGTCATTGACTGTCTGAGTCTTAAGGCCGTTCGAAGGCTGGAGCCCTACACCCCGCCATCTTCCATCATATCCATGGCGACCAGCTTCAGTCTGTGGGGAGAGGAGGCTGTGTGGACCCTGGACGACCACATCAACACCCTGCTGCTGTACCACGCTGCCACCTACGAGCTCTGTGCCAAGTACTGGTGAGTGGAGCTTTAAAGTACAGGACTGCCACAGGAGGGTCATCGTGTACACTTCAGTCCATCATATGGTTGATACGTTTTTCTGCTTTTTGTGCTAAAGATCAAATGAAATGAATAAACACTTTGACTTCCTGTAAAAGGATCGTTTCCTGGAGATCAGTGAATATATAGAGTCATTTTGGATGAATTCTGCAGACAACTTCAGACAGGCTGATATTACTGACTGACTCTGGTGTATCAGAGATATATCAGTACTGACTTGCAGTATATGTGAGTTCATTAACAAGAATGTCAGTGCAGAAATACCAAAGATACAATATCTCCTTAAAATAGAATAGTTTGTCCACCAGAGTGCACTGACAAGTTCTTTGTTATATTTTAAATTGGTCCACTAAGACTGCCTCTAAATATTGATGATTCTATTCATCAGTCTAGGGATGTTGTAAAAATGTCACGTTGTGGTTTTTTACAGATGGGTATGCAAAACCACATACTGATCTGTACAGTTTCTTGGCCAAGGACAGTAACTTCCTTGAGGTTGTAAGGCAACCAGCAGAGACTCAAAGAAGCAGCGGAGAGGTGTTTCATGAAGGAGGCTCAGACGAGCAGAGCTTATTGTGAAAAGCCTGTGTTGAAATATCCTAATAAACTGAACCAGGATTAATCAGTTTCATAAAGGTGGTTTGGAGCTAATGTGAGCAGACTACATCAGATCTGGTGAAGCACTGATCACATCATCAGTTAAAAAGTTTTTTTGCGGCTACAAAGTCTTATAATAATAAAGTTTGACATATCAAATAACCCCAAACAGGTTATTTATTTTATAGCAAGACAATAAAATAATTAGCATTTTTTTTAGAAGCTTTATTTATATATTGGTTGGGCTGAATTTAGAGACGTTGCTGATGTGGGCCTGTGAAGCTCATTCACACACTGTGTGTGATACTGAGCTGTAGAAGTAACAGTGAGGGATGTTACCTTCAAAGCAGAACAGTCTTTGACCTTCCTCATCCGTGACGATTTGAAGCAACATGATACCTGTGTTACATCAGGTTGGACGCTCACAGCTGTGATTTTAGAGCTGAGCAGGAGAGAAAACGTTTCAGTGTCTGAGTTCATGTTCTGGTTTCAGCTGCAGGGACAGCAGTCCTCTACGAGACATCTTCACTGTGCAGCGTCCTGCAGGGGTTACCACGGTGACAGCTACTGACCTCAAGACTATGGACCAGGAAGAGAAGCTGGAATGGACTAATGGAGAAGTGACACTGATTTACAGTGAGGAGGCGGGCACTCAGATCATCCAGCACCAGGACTCACTGACAGACTACTGCTCCATATCATCCAGCTGCTCGCTGGAGCCTCTGGGGTCAGACTGTTCCAGCACCGCCGACCTCGGCTCGTTAGCCACCCACAGCAGTTTGCCGCCACCGCCGCTGCCAGCAGAGCGGGACGAACCGGGCAGCGGCCAGGACCAGCAGGCGTCCATCAATCCTGATCTGGAGTCTGCAGAGACACTGAACCTCACAGTGCCTGAGCTGCAAGCCTTCAAGGTGCTGACAGTGAATGGAACTCTGTGGATCCCCAGGTACAAAATACTGCACAACAGCTAAACATCACATGTAGACATGAAATGTTGCTGAGTCACTGTTATAGCACCAGGTGAACATGAATATAATGCAGTGTAAATAAGGACAAAGCAAATAAATACAATAGCATATGTAATATGAGCGTTTTAAAAACTTGGCTGCACTTACCTTTCATGTGACTGAACATGAGTTACAGCAGCGGTCTCCAACCTTTTTGTACACCATGGTTTCGGAATTACAAACAAATTCATCAACAATACACTGTTATCTTAACCAGCGCAATGTTGTTAAGTAAAGGACACCAGCGGACAAAACAGATGATAATATCTCTTTTCTGTTTGTTACTTGTTGGAACAGGTGGTTTGATAAAGTTCTTTTACTTTTTATTGCACTTACAGTAAAGTTCAGTGATCGTCGTCAGCTCCAGTAATCTTCAGCTATCTTTACACCACTTGGTTCTGTGTCCAGCGCAGCCCCGCAGTCGGTTGCCAGGAAACATCTGTAGCACCACGTTATCGAAAGCAATAAACATCGTAAACAGGAAGTCGCTGCGGCATCACATGGTGTAACTTAATTAGCAAAAATAGGAGGGTGGCTATGTAATTTGTGCCTATGCTGAGAAATGTGTGATTTGATCAGTTGGTCAAACGTGATCGGCTGAATGTGCTGCAGTTTGAAGTATGTTACATTATTTTGAGAAATTTTGTGGAACTGAACTTTAATATTTTTGAAGATGATGTTGGTTAATTAAGGTCAGTGTTGATGCTCATTATAGTTTGAGACTGGAGCCCGCAACTCTTACATTTAAGAGTTCACCTCATTCATTTACAACAGCTCAGATATGTCAACCTGTTTTAACTCTAGTGACTCACATTCCTCCTCTTGCACAACCTTCTCCAACACCATAACACACTGTTGCTCATGTGCAGTGAAAAGGGCTTATTCATGTGTGTCACGTGTGCTGTGCGTTCTGTCGTCTGGCAGGCGTGGAGGTGATGTGATGGTCATCGAGATGCAGTCACACGGCGATCAGCTGAGGGGGCGTGTCATCGCTGTCCTCAGTCCACCGGGATGTTCCTCTTTAGGGTGAGTTCATTTCCACTGAAGAGCAGTGCTTTTTTTTTTTTTTTTTTTTTTCCTTTCCAACTTTGTCACTCAAGCTGTATTAGACTAATGTGAAGGATTCAGTATTCAATGTGCATTTTACAACATTGATTTCCAACACTTTACTGCAGGCTAAAAGAGCTGGAAAAACAACAATAAAAACAGATATATCATGATGTATCTGTTAGATCTCCAGGCAGTTCGTGGCATCATGTCTCCATACAAAACGCCATGATTTTCATTTAGGTATCGTGTATTACCATGATTGAAATTGCACCTTTCATTCAGCTGAAGTTCCCAGCAGTACTTCATATGAGGAGAGTGCTCCATGATAATAAAGCATTCGAGTTGTTGGGTTCTCAGTGGGCTGAGCTCTGTGTAGGAGATACAGTGTCACCATGTTCAGTGGGTGCAGCGAGGGTCTTTGATCCTTGATGAAATGTCATAGAGATGAATCAAGCACAAAGTGGCTGCAGCTCTGAGCCAATCAGAGATTTAATGAGCCCTGAGATATAAAAAGGCGTTGAAAGATGATTTAGAAACAATTTGTTGCAGCCTCTGAACCAGAGAACATCCAAGATGGCTGAGAGCTCATCATCAGCCAGAACACCAGCAATCTGTGATCCACAGAAAAGACCTCTTGTTGGTATTTTAACATTGTAATTAAGTGATGTTGTACAGGCTTTAAAGCTCTTTTTTTAGCTCAGTACTCACTATAAATTTGAAGTCTGGAAACATCAGTCAGTGAAAGACGCTGCTTCCCACTAAACACATATCAGTATATACAGTTAAGAGCAGAACAGGGATTCAAACAGGGGTTTGGACACCTACAGTAAGTGAATGAATAATTGGCAGCTGAGAAAGTAAGATGGAAGAAGATTTAGCTTAACAATCAGCACTTGGTTAATTGTTAAAAATTTAGGAAACGCAGGTGGTTCTTTTCCATTATAAAACCATCACCGACGTGATGTTCACAGGAAAATCAGAGTAATTCCGGAATTAAAAAAACAGTTGAAGTTGCTTGAATTATAAATTAAATGAATTGAATTAAAAGCTTTAAAAGCTTCCACTTCCATCTGTGGCTATTCAGTGACTGGCCGGACAAAATCCTAAATATTAAACATAGTGAGCGATGCTGCACAGCGTCCAGGTTTGATTGGAGAACATACATTAGATTGGACGAGATGTGTGGACATGTCTACCAGTTTTAACAAAGTCTAACAGGTATTCCTTTATCGAAGCGTCTGCAGCCTTCAACAGTAAATAAGCTGCAATGTTACTGAATAAACATGAGACAGGTTACCTTACTCTGGTTTAATGGGTTTATATACGGTACTACTGACACCTCATCTATATGATTGCAATGACTTGTGAGTTGGTCACTGTCGTGAACATGCTGCAGCTGCTGGAGACGCCCGCTCAGCTGGGACAGATGTCCTGATGTCCAGGTGTCCATTATCTAAATAATACTGTTCATTTCAAAGTTTGAATTTGTGTGGATTTTCTGGTTCACCAAACCAAAGAACAGGCAAGGATGATAATTGTGTTACAGCGTGCACACAAAAAACATACAAACCTGTAGATGAAACTGGCTCATGGACAAACAGGCCGATGTACACTGTAGGGATCATCTGGTTATTGGTTTTAACTCATGTATATATTATGTGTATAATATAATTGGGTTGTTTTGCTTCTGCTTTAATTACATGGATTTGAAATCCATTAAGAACAGATTTTTTTGATTTCCCTTTTCACCATTTTTTTTTTTTTCCTCTGCTCATTTCTCATTTTAAGAACTGTGGTTTGTTTAGTTTTAAACAGGCTTCCTCTTGTTTTAAACTGGTCCTGGAATAAGTTCTTTCTAACATTAAAGGGTCATAGTGATTTTTCTTCCACCTGCATGGAGCCCGTTTTGAGCTGTGCTTGAAACTATTCAGTGCTGGGAAAGAACGGTCCAATGAGCTACATGTGAATCCACTGATGCAGCCTCAATAAAGCATAGTGAGATCCCTCATCATGTACTTACGGCGCTTCGCAGAGTCTGTAATTATTTCTGTAAAGACGCCAGCAGCTGGTCCTACAGAAAGGACTTCTGTGTGAGCTTCAGCAAAGAGGCCCGGCCTTTTAGCAACAAGCAATAAAAGAGCCACCTAGAACACGGTCCTTAATAAGCAGTTATTACATGGTGCACCTGTAACGTAGGTGGCACGTTGGGAGGTCATAGCCGAGGTCAAGGGAGGGGTCATCGGGGCCGCAGGCCTTCACTTGTAGCACAGAGCTGCTGCTGCTGCTGCTGCTGTTGTTGTGTAGCTGTAATGATCAGGAGCATAATGCTGCTGGAGCAGTTTCCCTCCACTGTAAATGTGTTATATTCAGACCCTGAGCGTTTCATGTGTCTGTTAGTCCATGTGTGGGCGCGATGCCTCACAGCCTGTTGTGATCCTGAGGCTGTATATCACAGAAGGTGAACATCAGAGAGGATAATGATACACCTCAGAGACATGAAACAACATTGGAACAACATAATTCAGGGTTGTTCTGCATGATACATGAGTGGGTGAGCTCAGGATCCAGGGTCACCAGAAGCCCTACTTCCTCCCAAGATGCTTTGTGTCACAGTCTTCATAAATTAGACTGAGTTCAAAAGTAGACGGCTTTGGAGAAGACCTTTCAGGACAGAGAGGGCAGGATTTTTTTTTCTTTACCAGCTCTTAAACAAATAGCAACCTCTGTGCTAACAGTGTATTCAGTATCCTCAGTGGAGCTGCTTCCTAGAACTGCCCACCAGCTTCCAGGAAAAGCTAATTACAGTGCACGGAGATGTCCCACCAACTTTAGCTCCTTCTCCGCACTGCATCCTTCTCTTTTCCTCACAAAATCGATCTCCTTCTTGCGTCCCTCACTCCCTCCCTCCCTTTTCTCTCCCTTTCTCTCAGGATCCTGGAGGAGGCAGCACTAGTGGCAAAGGACACAGTTGTATGTGGCTTTCATAAGGAAAACATGGAGTGGTGCCTGTGTGTCTGGAGGGGCTGGGGCTGCCACGAGCTGGAAGTCTTCTACCAGTCCTACGAGGAACTGGGCCGCTTGGAGACCAGCATGAGGAAAAGAAGGTAGCTGTTGTGCTGTGACGGCGAGGCGCAGAATCGCAGCTCTGTACGGAGGGAGAGCCAAAGGGAATACACACCGACAGACTGCCAGTGTTCGGAGCAGGGGGTGGCCAATTGCTGACATCAGGGCAACGTAGGAGGGGGAGGAGGTCTGCCATAAGGGCTGAGCCTCAAGCTGTGCACAGTGGTTATATCCCCTCCCTGCATACCTCAGCACCAATAATATGTTAAGACCTGAAATCAGTAATCTCACTGCAGACGTGAAAAGCCACAAAGCTGAGTCACAGATCGACGCTGCCAGAACAGAACTTTAGTGAGTGACTTTACTTCTGCAAACTGGTTTTAATTGCTTTTTCATATTGAGTGCTATATGCCATATTTGGCTACTGGCAGCCGTCTGTGGATTCAGTTCAAGATGTGGTGGACTGAGTTTGGTTCCAGCTGCTGAAGCCTATTGTTTATTCTTTGTCTATTTCAGTCTTCCCTCATTTAACTGTTCCAACTTCATCCCCTGAGGAGGACGGGGACAAGTCCACCGACTGTTTTTAAATGAACTTGTGTTGGAACCAAGCTGCTGGTAAACAGCTGTGTTGTAGAGACAGACAGCAGATAGTGGATGGGTGGATGGCAGCGACACTGACACTCTCACACACTCAGAACACAGTGTTCCCCTGTTTTCCAGTGTATTTTAGTGCTAAACTGTGCCATATGAATCTGCATGCCAGCCGCGGCTCCCACTGTTACCAGAGCGGCCTGTAAGCAGCAAACTAACATCTGTGTTCTGTGCAACATTATGCAACACACCAGTTGTTCACAGCGTTTGCTATTCAAAACTAGTGCTTTTGGCAGGTCCTTATAGATGCGACACTTTTCTTTTAAACAAAGCTCAGACTGCAGGGTGTCCTCGCTCGCCTCTGCTCCTCCAGCATCATTTCTTAGCAGGAAAACATGTTCTTGGGGTTTTTAGTGATAGTTTTCATTGTTACTGCTCTGCCTTTTCCTTCACGGGATTCACATTACCCTCACATGCACAAGGGATTCACAGGAAATGAAGCAGCACATACTGGACATGATGCAGAAGACAGAGGCTGGTGCATGTGCACATTTTACATAATGTAGGAGAGGATGTTAGTTCAGTGCAACCGCGTTCCCCTCAGCTGCAGTTTGGCTGTAAACAGATACACCAGTTGTTCTGATTCTGTTGTATTTATTACAGATGAGCCCGGAAGTGTTGGCTTCCCCCAATACATGTGTTACCACCAGTAATCAGCCAGGACAGTTGGTGCGACCATAACCTTTATAAAGTGAATTTACTTAAGACCTCATGAGGCTTTGACCTTGTGTTATTAGCTGTTCGTGGGTGTGTTGTTGCTGAAATCCAACAAAACAATACTTTATTCCTGGTTAAAATAACAGTAGTATTTACCAGTCCAGGTTGACAGGAAACACCAGGAACATTTTTCAGCTTTTCAGAGAGAAACCCTCTATAAAAAGATTTTAAAAACCCACTGAGTTACAGATGTTAGTGGAACAGAGTCTGTCTGCAAGAGGGGGAAAGACGTACAGGTTTAGCTGTGTCGCCAAATGAGTCAAAGACCACTAAAATGTATCATACGTGTGAAATGCATTTGCTCTTGCTTCCTCCATGGGACTCGTGTCACCAAGAGACTTCAAGAGATACAAGGTTATCCACCACAGTTGTTTTTCACACAGGATATTTCATTCAGCTCTTCAGACCAAAACATCATGATTATCACTGAAGCATAAGATCATAATTCTCCCAATCCTACTGACACATACAACGTTTTTATATCAATAATTCCCACTGCAGCAGCAAGACAGGGAAGCAAACAGATAAGAAAAATGAACCTAAGTCAATGAAATGCTGAATCACAATATTTTATCAGATGAGGGCTGTTTGGTGAAGTCGTTTCCAGAGTCAAACTAAAGACATGGCAGATTCATGCACAGTGCACCACTGACAACAGGGCAACAGGGTGAAGCCACTGTAATAATCATTACTCCCCACATGGTTTTACAGATTTCAAACTTTTTTTTTTGTTAACTTTAATCAGCACATTAACAGATCATCAGTGGCCAGTAAAGACGTGTATATAGTCCATAACAGCCTAGAAGGAAGGCAGAGCTTATTTATTTATCAGGATGTAAAAATGAAAGTTTATTGCAATTAAAGTAGTTGTGTACCTAATCACTGTACAATACAGTAGTGAATAAAGTTCTTATGATAATTTCTGAAGATTGTCTGAATCATTTAGACAGATGGGAACTTAAGTTCTCTTCTCACAAACACGTTGTGCTCTGTTCACTCATGGATGGAGACAGAGACGCCTCCTCTGATGAGGTGATGATGACAGATGGAGAAGGAAGTTGATAACGAGGCTCCTGCTCAGCATGAGGGACATAAGAGGAGGCTTCATGCTCAGCAAAGCTTTCTGCTGGGTGACTGTAAGAATCCCTCTCACTGTCCCCTGTTGGACAGTGAGAGGTTGTATGATGGAGAGTGTCTCGCAGACAGGATAAAATAAAGTCTGGAAAATGCAACATTAGCAAATGTAGAAGCCTCTGTGGCAGAAAGATGTTGGTTGTTGTGTTTACACTAGACTGTACACTACCACTTCAATAAAGTTGTAAAGAAAATATTTAGAACCTCTTTGGATACAACACAAGCTCAGTACCAGACACTGGCTACTGGCCTATAGATTTCATACAAGGCCAGAACCAATCTAATAATCTACATCTTTTGATAACCAGTCGACATCTCAAACAGACTACACTGAGATGAGAAAAAATCAATCAAAATCGACAACACCTGACTATCAAATATGTATGACGAATAAGTTGCACGTGTGTTAGCATGAATAGCACGTTAATGCTAAAGATTAGCCATTTTACTGACTTCTCAGTGAGGCTAAATCCCCATATGCAATCAAAGTAACAATGTCCTGTTGTTGTAAGATGCTAATATACCTTCCACCACTGCCTTTAGCAATTGGCTAAATATATACAGTGCTGCAGACTCGCTGCTCTATATTTGAAATGGGTCCAAATATTGATCCATTTTTTTCCAACTGAGCAGGGGGGCTCAGTTGGAAAAAAAAAGGGGGGGATAGCATCATGTTCTCTGTCACCGTGTGTTGTCTGAAGTGTTGTCTCATACCCAAACTATTCGTTCAGAAGACTGAGTCTTTTGGGTGAACGAACTGAATCACTTCCTTCAAAAAATATGTTAGCTTCTCAGTCAGTTTCAAGCAAACGTGCAAGTATACACTCTCTGACTGATGGAGAGATTCAAGTTATTGATTCATGAGCAGGGATACACTCACTGCTAGTGAACGTGATTCAGTCACAGTGATACACGCACATGGAGGCTGTTCTTTCCTCCGAGCTAACGGCTAATGTAGTGAGGAGCTAGCACAAGAAATAAATGGCCTAATTCCTCACATGGTTACACTCACAGAGCCATGTGAACACAAACACACATCTTCCGTGTTTTAACAGACGTTCCCGATAAACATAGAAAATGTTCGGCTGGTCTGTGTGAGAGGAGAGTGTAGAGACTCACCGGTGCTGGAATCAGGCCCCGCAAGTTCAAGAGTAATAACACACTGGATCAGTTAAAAAGGCTCAAGTCATTAAAGTCAGCATTCATCTCTAAAATTCAACAAGGAAACTTTTAAAATATCAAGAATTATAAACAGAGTTTGGTGTGTTTGTCAAAGCAACAGCGCTTCCTGCTCTGGAAGCCGGAGATCATGAGGAGTAAACACTGTTCGGCCATGTTTCAGTTCAGTAGTAGGAGTACGCAATCAAGAGTCCCATCAAGGCCTGAATGACTCAGTGAACAAATCTTTTGAACAAAACTTTTTAATGAACTGATTCTTATGACATTGAAACAAATTGTTCTGCACATCACTAGTTGTCCAAGCTAGTACAGCATTAAAGTGAGCAGTGGAATCTCCATACCCAAGCTTATATTAAAGGCATATGCTTGAAATAACTAAGTACAAACCCTCTGTTTTTGCCTAGTCTCAAAGGCAGAATGAAAAACCTGCCATCACTGTCTCATTTATCAGACACACTGCCTTCAAGAAAGGTGGTTTCAGACTCTGTTCGACGATATAACGCACACTAAGTTCAAAGTAAACTGGCGCTTTAACCCTGATGACATCATCAGGGGTTGAACGTGTAACCATGGCGAGGCTAAGCTTTGTGCAATCCCATGGCAACAAGGACAATTCCACTGTGGTAGTTGTTCAGTAGAACAGAAATCTCATTACTAACCAGTTGCATGAATTAGACTGGATTTTTCACAAAAATCTGGTTTCCTATATGTATGTTAACACAACTATTTTAAGCAAATTTTATTGTTAAAAAAATTTTACTTATCAGACAGATTGATCTCTTAGCTATAACTCTGTGATACCTTAAATGATCTAGAGTCCCGACAAGACAAAAAGCTACAGAGATTTTCTTGGATGTACATACAGCCCCTCCTGTAAACAAGATGACAGGCTGCTGCCAGGAGTTTACTCAGTAGCCAACATGGTGGCACTGCAAATATCATGAATGATGCTCTTGTCATTTAAAAAGACTTGGCCCTCAGTTGGACTGATATGAATAAATCATGCTCAGTCCTTGGATGCTCTCATTTAACCTCTGCTCTGGCCAGAGTACCCGCAGCAGTCCTGGCCTCGCAGACCTGACCAGCAGCCATCCACTCAGCCCATCAACTCCCCCCCCCCCCCACTGTAGCAGCTCTGCTCAGGATAACATTCACTCTTATCACTGCCGGGTTTCTAACACAGACACAGGATTTACTCATCTCTGTGTTACTGTGCAAAAACCCATTTTAAGCTTGTCACATGGATTAATGGTTCATAGTTGTGGTTTTCCTCAGATCAGCAGACAGCAGAGGGCAGTAGAGAGCAGACCTGACGGATACTGTGCTCTCTTATGAGCCGCACTGATGCATTCCTGAAGCTTTCTCTTCTTCTATTCGGTTGTGTGAGTTTACCTTTCTAATAATAGTCTTTTATCATAATAGGTCCTTTAAGTCATGTTTGGAATTATTATGACATGTTCTGACTGTGACAGGAGTCATGTTTATGTTTTGTTTGTTTTGTTTGTTCATTTCTTTTCGTTTTTATGGAATTTTGAAAATTGAGTCATTTTAAGTGTGACAACTAAAAATTAAATGAATCAAACTAAATTAATTGTGTACCTAAGCAATTTTAATATTAATATATATACCATCCATTAATTTGGTACTCACAAGAGACAACTTTAAAAAAAAAAATATTTCCCATAATGCAACCAACAGTATTTTTTTGTCAGAGTAAACCCACCCATTCAGGTAAAAGTCGACGTCTTTCAAACTCCACACTGATTATGTTATGTTCTGTTATAATCCCATGTGAACATTACCCCGATGACATCATCAGTAAAGTGACCCTTTAATGTTGTTTATAGAAACACAACAACCCTTTCTTCACTGACCACGCGTTGAGACACTTTTTCTTTAAAGCAGGGAGCTGATAAAGCAGCAGACCCACCGAGACCAGGAGGCGTCTGAGACACGCACACATCACCAGACAGGTTCCCTATCTGAAGAGCCTCACTGCTTCATCTGACAGGAAGACAATTACCAAGCCAAACAGGAAGTGAACAGATATGATAATGTAAGACTCGTTCCTTCCTCTTGCTCAAAGGTATCTCTAACATGCAGAGTGAAGAGCTGAGGCTCAATAGCATGTGTCTACAAAACTTCATATGGTCTTCATCACTTCCTACCTTCCTCATCCTCATCAACAAACAGCTTTCATATTTCGCTGCGGTCGTATCAGCCAGCCTGAGAATTTGCATTAGTGACTGGAAGGATGTCTGGTTGTTGAGTGTGAGAGGATGAGGTGTAGAGAGGCAGAGAAAGAAGATAACACTGCCTGGGGAAATAGAAGCTGTAGCAGCGATATGTCTAAATAAATATAATTGGAAACAGCATGGACACAAATCTAATAAAACACAAGAGGTAGAAGAAAACAAAGACATAAATAAATGTGAACAGGGGAACATATGTAGAACATTAGTTCACTTAACCACTAAAACAGAGTGCAGCAAATCATGAGTCACATATCTGCAGGAGCTGCAGTGTTTAACAGATGAAGAAGAAATACAGAGGCTGTAAATTGAGCTGAACTGATCAGAGGTGACACCAGACTCCAGGTTCAGTGTCTGTGTGGATTAAGTAAACTGTGGCCAAGGTCAAGAAAGTCAATTCGTCAGAAGACAATCACTAAGAGTTCATAATTGGAACAAACATTTTTTCTAGATCTTCTTTATCAGATTTTGAAATGAATCTATTTTGTCTGAGGAGTGAACATCAGTTGATCCACCCTCTTTTTACTACTTCTTTTTTGATCAGTTGCTACTTGTTGAGTGTGAAATTTCCCCATTACCGTTGCTCTTTCAAAATGTCAATTAAGGACCTTTGTTGCTAGATTAATGAGTTTCTAAATGATCATTTTGCATGTAAATACAGCTGAAACCACAACACAGCGGCTAGTTGTTAACTTGCATGTTTGGCGATTTTGGCAGACGATGTGTTTATGAAATCTGGATTTTAGAAGAGCAGCAGCTTGGAAGTGACTGCTGGTTAACATGTTTTCTTAATGGGCCTTAATGGGACTCTTAATACGTGTTGCATTGTCTTGCAACAGATGCAGAAAAACATGTAAATAAGAACAGCTTTATTGTGAATTCAGTTGTATTAACATACTGTTTATGTGAGCACAGAGAGGAGGAGAGAAGAGAACAGAGAAAGAGCTGAAACCACTAGGCTGAGCGCAGTGATCCAGCCATATACTAGGTTTTGACCCTGTGTTGTTACACCTGAATCTGATCAACAATCCAATCATAAAACAGAGTCCAGTCGGAGGTCAGGTGGTTCTGTTACCTTCATCTCAGATCCTGAAAGGGGAAATAGATTCTGAAGATGAACAACAGTGAGGTTTCCTCCACAACACAGGTACATACAGGAAGAAATCTGTAACATTAGGTCCAACGGACCACTGAGGTCATCATCATCAAGAGCTGTCACACATGGCAGTACACACACACACACACACACACACACACACACAAACACACACGGTGTGGTGTGCACAAGCTATTCTTCAGAGTGAGCCAAATCTCCTTGAGACACTGAACAAG